ATTCACTTTTTCTGCCATAAGGGTGGACCCGCTTAGGAATGAGTTGACAGATTTTATATCGGGGAAGTTAATTTGTTTTAAAAAGTGTACAGATTAATGTTTCTTTTTTAAATATTAGTTATATTTTACATGAATTAGATGAATTAGTTTAGAAATGGATAAATCAAACTAGGGATAGTACTAAAAGTTAAACAATTTAAAAAAACTATAAAAAAATTCATCCCCTCCACTTTAGTCCCGTGGGTTTCGTAAGATAAAAAAAATATTAGGGATTCCGATAGATGGGATCAATCGCTTGGACTTCTCACAAAAACAACCAAACAATTAAAAGTAAAATCAGGGTTCTGATACATCTGCTTCCTTATCACCTTCTCAAATCTACTGCTGGACGTGGACCTTTCTTGATGTAAGGAGGAATTGCCTTGACCATCACGCATGGAAGGCGGCTTGATGATTGTAGTACTAGACATCTGGCACCTTTGCCGCTGCTGCCTGTCACGAGTCTAGATATTTTACGTTTGGTGTTGATCAGAGCCTGCAATAAGATTTTTATATTTAGATTAAATAAATGGATATTTAATCCATTTATTTGCAATTATAAAACTTTCAAAACCATGCCCTTTATGCCCAGCGTGCAATAGTAGCTTAATCCTGCTGTGTTTCGTATGAAGAGTGTAGACAAGCAAAGGGCGTTTTATTGGAAACGAGGTATTCTATCTTATTTCTCAGGGGTGACAAGGCTTCTGTATTTTGATTCTTAATCGATGGATATAGAAGTCTATTGGCCACAAAATCTACTTACCATCAGGTGGACTGCGAGCTCGTTAATCACTACTATTCTATAAAAAGATGTTGGTGACTTACTCCACTCCACAAGAATGAATTGTATTTTCAAGCCTTGTAACATTTCTTTTGCAAGAAGTTTTCCTCCTCACGACACCTCACGTTGCCGGCATTAGGGCAGTTCGTTGTTTCCAAGAGATATTATATTTTTGTGAACGTGCCTTATTTCGTGAAGACGTGACGATTTGAAGCGATTCGATAAAGGTGAGATATTTTTAACAAGATATTATTGTGATTTTTTTAGAACTGTTACTTAAATAGCTTTCAGCTTAATAATTAATAATAAACTTGAATAATTGACTCTGTAATTGTAATCTTATGATACTATAAGTAGCGGCACGAAAGTCTAGCGGTGACGTTATTGCGCATAAGTCGCGCTGATTGACTCTTGCGTATCGTTCGCACGCGCTAATTGGCTCTCCAGTCGCACTCGTGTAATTCAATTCATGCGCGTCCACTTCACGTTTTGTTCAGCGCTAGACTTACGTGCCGCGACTTGTACAGTTACCGTTACAGCCTATCAAAAGTCCACTGCTGATAACACTAACAGGCCTCGCCCATAGTTCGCTTGGCAGGCGAATTGACAACCGCTGTTTTTGGAAAAAAAGTTCATTATCGGACAGTACGAATTTGGCGAATTGGGGCTAGGCGAGAAAAAGTGTAAGATTTTTTCGTCACAACCCCATCTGACAAGTGTAGACCTAGGCGGCTATAAGTAAGCGAGATGGAATAATATCCATCTTCCTCGCACTTTTTCTTATCTTGCCATGAAATAAATATTATTTTATTTTAAACGACGCTTCATTTTAATAGAGACGCTAGTAATACATTTATTTGTATTTGTTAATCAATAATATAACACGTTTATAAATAATAATATACTACGAAAGTAACTTCGTTCCAACCGAGTGTTTCACGACACTAACGCATTTTTTTTATTTTCCGTTGTTATTGGGAAGATGCCGTTGCCCATCTGTCCCCCTCTGTCGCCTCTTACGACACCCATGAAGTTATGGGGTAGTGGATATTTTAAACCGTCACTACACGATACTATGTACGTCAGCAAATATAGTACGTGAGGGTAATATGGTCATCCGGTTAATATGGTCAGTTTCTTATAATTCAAAAACTACATCCTTATTTGCATAGATGGCTCCTTGATACTATAGCTCTTCATCAGTCATTCAAATAATAAAGAGTCAAAAAGGCGCTGCTTTATCGACGCCATTTTGACAGTTGATATTATAGTAAATTTTTAGTCGATTTAGTATTGGGTAGTGTAGTTAGATTTTTTAAGTAAATTTTTCGAAGTGTTCCTAATTGTTGCCAAGTCTTATTTGTTATTTTTTTCTTAATATTTTAGTTATAGTATACGACATTGTGTATTCATCTCTTTCCACCTCCTTTAGTTTTGGTTTTATAGGGCGGCAAAGCTTAAGGTGACCATATTACCTTAGTACCTTATAGCGAAGAGCAATCCTTTTTAAGGACTGAAACTTACTTGAATATTTAAATTTTATACTAACAGCAATCCTGTGTTACTATATCAACATTTTTTTTAAATGGGCTCACTCTTGTACTCCACCTGGGCCGAGGGCAAAGATGAGTTGTACAGTGGAGCGAGTTTGCCTAGGTGAAGCCTGTTTACACGCACCTTGAAGAATATAATCAAACTTCTACAGAACTTATTGAAAGTTTCATATTTTGCTTGCTAGTGACACAGTAATTTGCAGGCTGTGGGGCATTCTACATTAGTCCTCGAGAGAAACAACATATCTGTACTCTTCTTTGTATGAAGTTCTCCTAGTACTCACAACGTTCACAGTAAAGTATATTTTTTCTTACCCGTTTAACATCCCTTGCATGATTCCTATAGCCCAGTGAAGTCTAAACTAAAACTACGTAACACAAACTCCTACAAACTTATTGATTCATATAAATAAAAAAGTTAAGGAGAAATTGTTATATTGACGTTCACATTTTGTAGCAAATGCAGTCGTAAACTACAGAATACTATAAAATAGCTCGGGAATCATCGTTACAGATGTCATTCAATAAGTAAAATTCACACAAAGTCAACTCAAAAATAATATTGTAAAACGAAGCAATATACCCGTTTCCTCCTAAAGCTGCATTGCTGTTATTGATTTTAAAAAAAATTTGGGTACGTATGGGGTTGGATAGTTCTAGCAATAGTTGAACCCAGCAGGTGGCGCTGTAGACGAGATCGAGAAATAACCTGTGCGAAGGTAGAGCTGATCTCTAGTAGTCAATTAGATTTTTTTTTTATAGGATTGGGTGACAAACGAGCTCACAGTTCACCTGGTGGTAAGTCAGACTTAACTTTGTGATGTTAATGAAAAAGGTGTCGGCTCGGTAGTGTAGTGCCTAATCGTTTAGTTACACGTTGTGCGCCGCGGGTTCGAATCCCATTCAGGACAGGTGAATGTATGGCCTACAAAAAATCGTTCCGATTCTCATGTGTAATTTATTCACGTATTATAAATGAACGCTTTAGCTACAGCGATATAACGTTAACTTTCATACGTGGTAGAGTTACGCTTCAACCATATTATGGTTATTATGGTAATGGATCGGCTTAACCGGGGAAGAACCACGCTCTCACAGTATACCAGCGTAAAATAGCAGCTTAAAGCTGCTGTGTTTTGTATGGTGAGTGTAGAGAACCGGAGACCCTTTTTACTGGTAACAAGGCATTCCATCTTAATCCTTAAAGATGACAACGTATCTGCATTTTGATTCTTATTCGAAGATAGATATATGTGTCTATAGGATATAGCATCCACATACCATCAGGTAGACCTTGTGTACGTTTGTCTTACTTATAATATAAATAACTACGTATACATTTAGATAAGAATATCCACTATCCCATATCGTCTCGTGGGTGTCGTAAGAGGCGACACAGGTAAAACGAAGCGGCTATATTAGTAGTATAGTTGTAGCACGAATGGGTCTGCTCGACCGGGGAAGGACCACGCTCTCACAGAACACCAGCGTCAAATAGCAGCTTAACACTGCTGTGTTTCGTATGATGAGTATAGAGAACCGGAGACCCTTTTTACTGGAAAAGAGGCATTCTATCTTAGTGCACACGGGTGACAACGCATCTGCATTTTGATTCGCAAACGAGGATAAATGTAGATGTCTATGGGCCACAGGAACCACTTACCATCAGGTGGACTGTGTGCTCGTTTGTCACCCTATCCTATAAAAAAAATAAACCAGGAGTAGGCAGCAGCATCTTCCTAATATCAACTAAAAGTAAAAAAACCTGTTCTTGCCAACTCGCCCGCCAAGAGTGCCAACTATGGCAGGCAAATATCCCACCCTATGAGGCAATCTATGGAGGAGACCTATGGTTCAGCAGTGGACTTCTACAAGCTGTAATGGATGGATGTATAGAAGATAATATACCAAGAGTAAATGACCCACTGAGACGTAAACTATGACAAATATCCCCCAACGAGGCAATCTATGGAGGAGGCCTATATTCAGCAGTGGACTTCTATAGGCTGTAATGGATGAATGTATAGAAGATAATATACCAGGAGTACATGACCCACCGAAAGGTTAACGATGGCAAATATCCCCCAATGAATAAATATATGATAAATAGTGACGATAAATAAAAATATATGTATAAAGATTCCTGTAGTGATTCGAACAATAATAATATTTCCAAGAAAAATTTCTCTAGACCCACTCAGAGGTGACTAAATAACGTAATTTTAAAAAATGTTAAAGTCTGATAATATAGAAACTTCTCGAACTAAACAAAAAAACATCTACAGCAATATTTCACAAAAGATAAGGCATTTGACAAACGGCGTTTCTTATCTGGAAAACAAAATAGTCGATGATGCAAAAAATTCTGAGTAGTAGACATCTTTTTCCAAGGTTAAAATAAACAAAAGTAAAGTGTCTGTCTGTAATATTGAACTATTGTTTTTTTTTTTTTTTATAGAAGAGGGGGCAAATGAGCACACGGCTTACCTATTGGTAAGTGTTGACAGCCGTCCATGAACAACTGCAACACCATAGGAATTGCAGGTAGTAGTACCTGCAACCTAGTTCAAGAAACCAAAAGGGAGTAAGCTCGTTTCTTGAACTAACAGGCTTCAAGAAACGAGCGTTTGTATGCTATTAAGACATTAGCAACTATTTTGAAAATATTGTCTTTCTGTCTGTTTGTCTGTCTGTTTTTCTGTCTGTTTGTCTGTCTGTTTGTCTGTCTGTTTGTCTGTCTGTTTGTCTGTCTGTTTGTCTGTCTGTTTGTCTGTCTGTTTGTCTGTCTGTTTGTCTGTCTGTTTGTCTGTCTGTTTGTCTGTCTGTTTGTCTGTCTGTTTGTCTGTCTGTTTGTCTGTCTGTTTGTCTGTCTGTTTGTCTGTCTGTTTGTCTGTCTGTTTGTCTGTCTGTTTGTCTGTCTGTTTGTCTGTCTGTCCGTCGATTTTTCTGTCTAACTGTTCGGGCTAATCTTTGAAATAAGATTGCGATGAAATTTTACAATAAGATAATGAGCAATTCCATAAGGAATCTAGGCTATATATTATCACAAAAACTTGAAAACTATTTTTTGAGACTTCGCCTAAATAGGATCTATTAATGTAGTTTAAAAAGCCCGGCTTCGCTAGTACACAATAAAATTAGGAATGAGGACAGAAAATAGGTGTGAGCTATGCAAGGTGAAATTAGAAACTTGTTCCAACTGTTTCTGCTCCTGTCAAATAACAATTTCAGTAGCCTTTTCTGAACTAACGGGCTGTTATCTCGCAACAAGTTTCAATCGTTCCTGTTACATCTGCTCTGTTCTTGTTACTGTTTCTATGGAATTGCAAATTAGATTCAATATAGATAATACTTAGTTGTTTTTTTGTTAACGTTATTGTCTTGATTTAGCGTATATTATAATATATTTTATCACTTATTATTATGTGCATTCGAATGTGAAAACGAGTATTTTACGACTGGTGGTTATTTTCTTTTAGTTTCTATGTTTTTTATAGGATAAGGTTGATAAACGAGCACACAGTCCACCTGATGGTAAGTGGTTTCAGTGGTCCATAGACATCGTCATCTATACTCGATTACAAATCAAAATGCAGATGCATTATCATCCGTGAGGACTAAGATGGAATGCCTTGTTTCCAGCAAAAAGGGTCTCCGGTTCTCTACGCTCAGCATACGAAACACAGCGGTGTTAATCTGCTATTTTACGTTGGTATTTTGTGAGAGCGTGGGCCTTTTCCGGTCGAGCTGACCCATTCGTACTACAACTATACTACTAATATAGCTGCAGCATGGCTCTACCACGTTTAATCTAGGTAACGTCCCTAAGCAAGAACAAAGAAGAGCTTGTTCCAATCTGTTATTTTTAGAAAACCTGTCGTTTTTTACCGTTAGAATAAATTAAATTAAATACGATCAAATGAGATCCCCACTTGTTCGAGCAGTATAAATGTCAATACCAGCAAGCTACTAATGCTGTTACTATGTGGCTGGTAGAAGGAAAAAGGGAGATCTCCCGCCGGGCAAAGTATTCTGCCCGGGGAGCGGTCAACGCCCCGAGTGGTCTAGTCTAGTTTCTGTGATGTTAATGCTGTTAGCCTATGTGGCTCTTACAGCTTCAACGACGCGACGTTGCACTAAAATCGATAATCTTGGGGGAGTGGGATAATATTGTGTTCAGTTCCATGATCACATTAACATAACATGGATTAGTTATCTAACGGCCGTCTGAACAGGGGGTGGCGGGCTCCGGCTCTGAAGGCTAACTCGTATCGTTCGATGTTCTGGGCAGTGACAACTGGCCATGGACGCGGGTGTACGGTGTGTACGCGGTGTGGAGGGGTGTGCGGCGCGCCCGTCTGCGGACTCGCTGCGTCCCATCCGTTGTTATCTATACATATAATAAAACTGTAAATATCAGATGTCTGTACATTTTATATTTTTGTAATAAAAGTGATTGAGGGGTACTAAAAATAAGTAATTAAATACATTTCTACCATTTTTAGAATTTTCTGTCTGTCTGTCTGTCTGTCTGTCTGTCTGTTTGTTTGTTAACGTATCACGTTTAAAGTACTAATTTATATCAGAAGAATTGTTAAGGAAATTATAAAGTGTATCTTCGGGTTACATTTAGTCTTTATTTCATTAAAATCGGTTCATTCCATCAAAAGTTATGATAAATATTCTGAAGTATGGGTAGGGAATTTGCTCAACGGTGGCTTTGTTTGAGTCATCAAGTTGATGTTAGCAGCGCCATCTCTCTTCAATTAAATATATACATATAATAAAAATGATGATAACATGTTGTGTCTCTTTCTGTACATTGTATATTTATTTTGGTGACTAAAATCATTATGGGGAACTAAAAATAATTAAATAAGTACATTTTTATAATTTTTAGAATTGTCTGTCTGTCTGTTTGTCTGTTTTTATATGAATGCATCACGTCTAAAGTAAACATCTTTTTTTTTCAAAGAAATCGTTAAGAAAATCATAAAGCGTATCTTTAAGTTACATTTAATCTTTGTTTTATTAAAATTGGTTAATTCTATCGAAAGTAATGATTATTATTTTAAAATGTAGGTTCGAATTTGTTCAATGGCGCCATAAAAATCTCAGAAATAGTAATAAAAAGATTTGTGTGTAAAAAAAACGTTCCATAATAATTAATATATTTATACTTAAAACATAAAAAGAGATTTAAAAAAGGATGTTTTCTCACACAAAGGACGTAATAGATGGAGTTGTACAAATTACAAACTTTTCTGATTTGCTGTGTTGAGATTTTTCACCGATGAATCGTATTGACTTACTGAAGAAATTTGTATCTATCGAAGCCATACAACGGAACCCGAACAAAAATAACTAAATTGCAACGAAATGTCGTGATATTGTATTTATAATATACGCAAAATCAGTACTGCCATTTTAGCGCTTTGGGAACTAGATTTAGCGCTTTTTTGGAATGTATAGCGCGCATTTCGAAATTTTTGCACCTAGCACTTAATCCAGCGCTTTTTGGTGTATTTAGCACACATTTCAAAATTGTAGCGACTAGCGGGTTATTAACTCTTTTATAGCAGCACTGTTAGTCCACATTACCGATAATAATAATAATGACCTTTATTATTTTTTTCCACAAATAGTACATTGCAGTTTATCTTTTTCAAACATATTTTTTCCACAAAACAAAGAGCATGGGAGACGAGTCCAAACTAGGATACCCTGTGCTATGGATCTCCCGGCTTCCCCTTTAGGATGATCAACTTGATTTTTTTTATCGACGACTATAAGCGGGGAAATCCCCTTCATTAAAGTTTTCGTTCATGGTTTTGGCAACGCATTTATTTTGCTTTATTCAGTTTTAGTCAGTTGTTTAGAGCACAGCTAAGTTAAAAGTTACTTAGAGTAGTACTAACTACTGTTGACAGCAATTGCCATAATTATAAGTCGATGTCCTGCGAAGTATTGATACATCAAAAAACATTGCCAGAAAAAAACTTAATGTTGTTTTCTTTATTATGATTATATTTTCTTGAATTATAAATTATAATAAAAAACACAAACTTTGTTTGTAGTTAATTTAGCGCGAAATCTAGGGCTTTTTTAAAGCGCTGTTTTCATGAAATCTAGCGCTTTTTGTGTTGTCCTAGCGCTGAATGAGTTTTTTTGATCTGGCAGCACTGCCAAAAAACCCTCTATTAAGAAGTAACTTTCCTTTCAGTTTTAAGCGCGTTCAGTTCCCAGTTACAGTCAGCGTGTGTTATGCGGTGACCGTAAATAAAGTGCAAGGTCAAAATTTACGCGTTGTAAGAGTGGACCTTAGTACTGACTGTTTTGCACATGGCCAACTCTATGTTGCTTTTTCCCGCGTTAGTAGCCCCCGTAACCTTTTTGTGTATTCCCCGTCTAAGTCTACTTCTAACGTCGTTTACACCGAAGCTCTATCATAAACTACTTAGAACTTTGATGATAATGATTTATTTGTTACCACTTATTGATACAGTAATGATATAAATCTTTTAATATTCTCTTACCTAAACGACAAATTCTTTATGTAAAATCTATATACGCGAGCTACGCCGCGGGCACAGCTAGTCCTAAATATAGTCTTTGCGTATAGCATGGTGCGATAATTCCCTAAAATAAAAGTAGCCTTAATTAATTGTTATAGCAATAGCTATCTGCCAATGAAAGTCCTATCCAAATCGGTTCACAAGTTTTTTGCGTTATTCGTGTACAGACAGAGTTCTCTATTCGTTGTTATTTTGAATTCATGCTTCTAAATTCAATTAAGTTTTGCTCACAGTTATACGTGCAACGTTGCAGGCACCATAACATTATCCAACAGACGAATATAAACTAACGTAATTTACAACTACACCTAAAAAGAAACTGTATCTCATTACCATTGTGAATAAATTTGAAACAAGAATTCATTATCATATCTTCATTATCAGCCTTTTTAAAAAAAGGCTGATAATGAAGATACTGTATAAAAAATGTTTATGTAAGTAATTCTATGTTCTCTCTTCATAAGGCCCTTTCAGATATAATATAAAAATTATACAAAATAATTGTAAAACCCGATGGGTTTCTTGTTGGTTCTTCCCAGGACAGATGCATTTTCCAAAACATTGCTAAATAAAAAAATTACTATCAATAAGTATTATGTAATAATCTATATTTAATAAAAAATATTCTATTCTATTCTATCCACGAGTTAGGAATTAAACTAATTCAGAAATGGAATATTTAAGTAATCCCTGTTGTTCTTAGTTAAACTTATTAAAGTTAGTATCAGCTTTGTCGCTAAGTTTACATTTCGCAAACACGAAACTTGTTACTTGAAATTCACTAAGTGTATTAACGCGATTGTTAGTAATACATATTAAAATACCTGATTTTATCATCATCATCATCATCTAGATCATCATTTTTTTATAAAATGGAAGTGACAAAACTTACGACTGATGATAAGTACACAGAGCCAAGTAAAATGGCAGCTTGACACTCGTGTCTTTCGTGTGGTGAGTGTAGAGAACCGGGACCCATTTTACTGGAGGAGACGCATTCCGTCTTAGTCCTCACGGGCGACAACGCATCTGCGTTTTGATTCTTTATTGAGGATAAATGTAGATGTCTATGGGCCACTTACCATCGGGTGGACTGTGTGCTCGTTTGTCACCCTATCCTATAAAAACAGCCTGTGAAAGTATTTCCGTTTGTAAGATAATGATATAATACAAAAAAAAGCTTTGTTGTACAGAGGACTTGTTTTGCTTTAAATTTATTATAATCATAATATATTTTTTTATAGAATAAGGGTGACAATCGTGCACACAGTCTACGTGATGGTAATTCAGAGCAAAAACTGTGGCAAATAGACATTTACATTTGTCCTCGATTAAGAACCAAAATCCAGATGCGTTGTCAC